AAATGTATCGTGGCTATTGTTCTCAAATGTATGAAAAGAAAAATAAAATGTGACATCGAAAAAGTCACTAATTGTGAGGTAAATTAATTTTTACTTTTCATTCATATAATTTAACAATTCATTATTAATTTTTATAAAATTTAATAATTATTTATAAGTCATTTTTAATATATTTTTTTCAATATTAAAGAAAACATTAAAAGCCATAAACTCTATCTTAAAATTTAATAAATTCTCAACTTTATCCTTATTAAATATACATATTTCAATAACACATTTCCTCTCTATGAAGGGTAAAAAAAATTTATAAATAAAAACAAATTTTTTTTTCTCTTTCTATCCTATAAATAGGACGAAAGGGAGTATCATTTAGTTAGTGCATACAATTATTTTAATTATTTTTTAGCACAAGATTACCAAAAAAAAAAAGTGTTAGGAGACAGAAAAAATCAGATCATATCAAAACCCATAAGATTTATATACCTTGGTGATAGATAAATGAAGATAATAAAATCTAAGTTGTCATAAGATTTTTTTTTTTTGGTGTAAAACAACTTTCAAATGAAGAAAATGAGGGAGTACATCAAAATAAAGTTAACCCCCAACTGGATGCTTGAGGACACGGGAAAAGTGGGTTAAAAAAATAATAAAAAGAAAATTAAGATAATAAAATCTAAGTTGTCATGGGATATCTAATAAGCAAGCAGACAGGCATCTATATGTTTATTTGAATCCATGGTAGAATGTCATGGTCTAACTTTTATAAATATTTTGATTATTGAGTTGAGCTAGTATTTGTTTTCTTTTATACAATATTTTAAAAATTGGATCAGTTATCAAACTGAAAATGTCATTGGTTTACAGTTTTTATGGTTTGATCCGTTATGTTGTTGGTCAAACAATAACAGAATAATTAAATAAAAATAATATTATACATATAAAATAAAATATCAAATTTTTAGAGAACTTAAAAATAAATTTAAATATAACTTTCGTTTCCCTTGTTAAATTACTATTAATTAGTATTATGTTTAAGGTATAAAATACTATTTTAAAGCTACAAAATGTGGAAAAGGGTTCTCTTTTCAAGTTCTTGTTCAGAACGCTGGGGAAAGAAACAAATACGCCAAAAGGCCAAACCAAGGGTGTAATCAAAAGAAAACCAATGGATATTTTGTGGTCATCGGAAAATCAAAAGTATCGCTCTTTATTTTTCGTCTTCTTTGGTTCTCCATGTAGTTTCAGTTCGACGTCTCTCTTCTCTTCCATGGTGCCTCTCTCATTTTTAAAAATAAAAAAGCTGTAACAACAATTTTGTTTCTCTTGGATGTAGCTCAGGTTCGATAATATTATCACTGTCTTCTTCTTGCTACTTGCTTAACATTTTGAAAAAATAACAATAAAAATCTCTTTAAATTATTTAAATAACATTTTAATCTTTCAAAATATCATAATTACCTTAAAGTCTCTAAAAATTTTTCTGTCATTAAGAAATTAATATAAATAATTAAATTGCTTTCAATTCAAACTTACAAGTTGCTGTTAAATTTTTATAATTTTAAGAAAAAAATTGTAAATTTTAAAATAAAACTTATAAATGGGACATTTACAACACTCGAGAAATATCATAATTTTAAATGTAAACTTACAAATTAATGTTGCATTCTTGTAATTTTAAGAAAAAAAAAGTTGTGAATAACAAAACTTGTGAATGATAATTGATATTTAAATTAAAGTAATTTAGTCATTTATATTAATTTTTTTTAATGACAAAAAAATTTTAAGAGACTTCAAGAGAATTATGGCATTTTGAGATATTAAAGTGTCATTTATATAATTTAAAAAAATTTTATTATTATTTTTATTAATATTTTTTCTCCTCTTTTATTTTTATTTCTTCGAGCTCCACTGACCTTCTCCTCCTTCTTCAAGACGCAAAGTTCTTGTTTAAGCCTTTTGAATTTTATTTTGGCACGAAAAAAATTTTGTATCTTTAAAAGTTTAAAATTTGTTTGGCTCTATAAAACTTGCCCCAATCCCTAATTCAAATTCAGTTTCTAATTCAAAAGCCAATTCGAAATGACTCAACCCATAAAATAGATCAGACCAAGATGCTTGTTTGTCGAGTTGATGGTTGAACCAGTTCAACTATTCAATTTGGCATGATTTTCAAATCATTGCTTTTATACATGATTTTAGCGTTGTTTTGTATTTAAAAAACTAAGAATTTTACTTAGGACCTTCAAAATGAATTTATTTGTTGTCAAAAAGGCCAAAACATTTTGAAAGTACATAACAGTCAAAGTCCTTCAATGTAATAAAATTTTAGGTATCAATTACTAAAATACTCATTTCTCTCTCTCAAAAGAAAAAAAGTGTCCTTATTGCTGATTGCCAGTTTTCAAAAGTTGTCAATTTTCAAAACCTTGAGATTTTCTTGAACTTTTGTAAAATAAATTTATAATGCATATATTTAGGGAACAAGTTATAAAAAATTAAATAAGTTAGATTTTTAAAATTGACAACTTTTTTAATATATTAACAAATTATATTTAAATATTTACACGTAATTGTTCAAAAATTAATAACAAAGGGTCCAAAATCAACAAAGGCATATAAAAATGCTTAAAAAATAAATTTATAAAACACACACACTATTCAAGATAATATTAACAACTTGAAAATATTGAAGAAACAAGTTGTAAGTATTCGAACAAATTAAGTTTTAAAAATTGACAATATTTTTTTATGTATTAATAAGTCATGCTTAAATATTTGCAAGTGGCTATTTGGATATTTACAACAACTCATCCTTGATTAATAACAATCAATAAAAATAGTTAAAAAATAAATTTATAACATATATTTTTTATTTAATATAATATTGATAACTTGATAATATCATTTTAAAAATTAACAACTTTTTTATATATTACAAGTCATATTTAAATATTTACAAGTAATTATTCAGATATTTACAACAATTTATCTATGATTAATAGCAACACATGAAAATTGTTTTAAAAAAAATTTATAGCATGTTTTTTTTTGTTAGTATAATATTTGATAATTTATTAACGTCAAATGAATAAGTTATAAAATAAGAATTCATTGAGTTTTAAAAATTGATAACTTCTTTTGCATCTGAACAACATTGTTCAGATGTTTACAATAATTCTTCCAAAATATACAACAGCATATGAAAACAAAATACATAGAAGTCAAAGTTATTACGTATGTACTCAATAGCTTGTTCGTTCAAGTGAACATTTGACTCCAATTACTGGTGGCAATTATCTGGCTATCGTCGGTGCCGAGCTCCGGCACGGTGGCTCCACAGACAGGGACACTTGAAAAAAAAAAGACAAAAGAAAATTATTTATTTGATTCTTATAGTTTTGATTTAGTTATAACTCAATTCTTAAACTTTAACTCATTATAACTCAATCTTTAAAGATTAAATTTAGTTTTAAATTAGTTTTTGAACTTTATTTCTTATAATTTAATCTTTGAAGTTTTAACATGGTAAATATTAATCCTTATATTTTAAAAAAATAAAATTATAAAGATTAAAAATATTTTAAACTTTTAATATTTATAGGGTTTACTAATTTAAGAGATCAGTAATAAATTTTAAAATATTTTTTATTTTTATAATTTTATTTTTTAAAAATATAAAGACCAATATTTAAGATGTTTTAAACTTCAGGAACTAAATTACAAGAAAAAAAGTTCAGAGACTGATTTACAATTAAGTTAAAATTTTAAAGACTGAATTATAATGAGTCAAAGTTTAAGAATTAAGTTATAACTGAGTCAAAACTATATGAATTAAATAATTAATTTTTTAAAAGAAAAAATTAAGAGGGATATTTTGATAATTAAAATCTAAAACTTTATTACATTGAAGGATTTTGGAGCCGCCAGCAAATACGTTGATTTTGAAGGCCCCAACGAAAATTCTCATAAAAAATAATGATAAACCCATATCACGTGACAAAATGATTTGACAAGGAGAGTATAACACATGAAGTGGCACGGTTTTCATTTACTACCCCGTGTTTTGGTGCTGCCCCTTTCACCCCACTTGTGCCCCTTGTCTTATTATACCTCTTGCATCGTTTGTGAGAAATAAATGTAATACATTTTTCATGGGAATAAAAAAATAGTTTTTTTTTTAAATTACTGTTAAGTTTCTCACAACTATTTTTATTATAAAAAGTCTCACCAAATATTGAAATTTAAACATAAGGTTTTGCGTCCCATTTACACTTGTACGTTTAATCCTTGAGGACTTGCTAGTTGCTACAAGTGGCCAGAGCCTACCAACCAATCTTTTATTTTCTTTTTGCAGATAGTTCAACTGTTTAATATCATTTTTGTTTATGCATATTCATATATTATGCAAATGAGTTACCATATTCATTAACATTTTTCCCATTTCTGAACATATTGCGACCGTATGCTATAATTTACACATGATTAGGCAAACTTCAATATTTGGGTTTTAGCCATACAATATTACAATTACTTATCAAGTTTTTGTCGTCACTCTAAATCCAAGCACTAACAATTGTTGATTTTAGGAGAGTATAACATATTCAGTGGCATAGTTTTCATTTACTTCATCTTTTGGTGCTGCCTTTCTCCGCACCTGTGAAATTTAAGTAATATAGCTTTTTCGGTTTTGTATTCTGTTTTTATGTTCTTAAGCCAATTTTGAAGAAATAGTTTTCAAATCAAGTTTTGGAACAAAAATAAAAAAAATATATATTTAAATTATTATTTTAAAAAACATATTTAAATTGGTGAAATAAAATATGAAAGAATAATTTATTTTATTAACATAATTTTATTAATAAAGCATGATATTTTATGCCTTTTTTCTAGTTTTAC